CTGTGTTAAGTTATCATAAGCATATGTCACCCAATTGTCCTGGCTAAAGGAAGAGTTTTTGTAGTTGGTTAAATAAGCATTTTAATTTCACTCTTTTCTTTGTCTACAAGTAAGTGTAATGAACTAAACACCATTCTTTGCCATAAGGTTCTAGCCAGAGTGATGTTTGGAACTTATATAGCTTTTCACCAAAATATGCCAGAGACGTTTGCTATTTCATTTGGTGGCAGTAACAGAGCAGCGATAGGCTGTCTCTGCACTTTGCAGGACCCTCTGCTGGCCATGCAGCCATGACGCTGTTGTAGTAAGAAGGCTCTGTTGTTATTATTTCTCCCCAACAAGTAAAAAAGAAATAATTGGAAAAATCTGAAAAGGATTTGGTGGAAAATTAATTTTTATTTTGATGCCATCTCCAAATTATGTATAGTAGCAAACATATATAAGGTGAGACAAAAGGTTTATATAAATAATGGTTATTAGTTATTATATTACTTTCCATACAAACAATTATAAACCTACTTTTGCCCACTGTACTTTAATTGCAAGGTTTTTACTTTATCAGAAACAGTGCGTAATAATGGGTGATCCTAAAGAGCCATCTGAATTACCAAACAAAATGTTTTACGCTCAATATTACTTACATATTCTACTAGAATTTAGCTATCTTTAAACTTAACCATTAAATCTGGAGGTAATGCTGAATTTTTTTCTCAAAAATTACTTTTTCATACAGAAGTTATTTATGGGAAAGTTCTAGTCAGGTGATACTTATTGCTTTAATAGTTTTATTAGATTTCATTTTTGTGTTTTAGGGGAAACTTGACAAAGCTGTACCTTTGTACGAGCTGGCTGTTGAAATCCGGCAGAAATCCTTTGGCCCAAAGCACCCTAGTGTAGCTACTGCCTTGGTGAACTTAGCTGTTCTCTATAGCCAAATGGTAAGTTCCCACACTTTAACTCTTTAAAAATGAATGGTGTTTAGGTATATAGGTCAGTGATTGGCAAACTGCAGCTCATGATTTGCTGTTCTGTTGACTAGTAAGTTTGCTGACCACTGTGTAAGGCATAACCCTTACCCAGACGTTTTGACTTCAGGTTAAAGACATTAGTAATTAAAATGTTTTTTAAGTGTTTTTCCCTAAGGCAGTGGTCAGCAAACTGATTAGCCAACAGAGCAGCAAATTGCAGCTTGTGAGCCACATGTGGCTCAAGAGCCACAGTTTAGCGACCACTGATAAAAGTAAACATGAATTAGATGGACACAGTAAAAATAATTAAAGTAGATTGAAGGTAATTTATCTTCAAGTGCTTCCTTTAGTACTTGAGAAATTATTGAAGTTCCACTCCTCTTCGTGTAAAGCACTGACTGACTGGTTCATTGCATAGGCTGTTTTTAAATTCTGGAGACTCCCTACATCTCTCTATCTAATATTATCTTTAAGCTTCAGCATTTGCCTGTGATGGGTGAGAAACAGGTATGGTACCAAATGGGCAATAAAGAAACACATAAAGTTTGTGTTTATATCATTTGATTAAGGTCAGTGGTTACCAACCCAGGTCAAAAGCCAGTTTCTGATATTCTATTATTTTGCCTCTCCCATGATGATTACTTATAAGTTAACCTGTTTATTCACGTTTTAGGAGGATATAAATATTTAAAAAGTGCTTATTCAACTTGTCAGCTTAATCTAGAATACATTAATAGTAATTTCATAAACCCAGAGTGTCCAAATGAGTGTTGTTGATTTTTTTTTTAATAAGAAAAAACACATCGAAGCCTTGCCACTGTATGAAAGAGCATTAAAGATTTACGAAGACAGCTTGGGCCGGATGCATCCTCGAGTTGGAGAAACTTTAAAAAATTTAGCTGTGCTTAGGTAAGAATTTTTTCACTTTCTTCATACAGCCTAACTGCCTTTTAGAACATCTTTTGCCTCATCATGGAACAACAACAAAATACCACTGAATGTTTTTTCTTGGACGTGGGTTGTTTCTGGTTGATTTTCTAAAAGAGATACAGTAGTATCTAGAAGTGAAATGAAGGCTACACGATGTATCTTGCAGAAGAGTTTATCATGGCAAATAGTGAAGGATGGTTTACATGTGCAACCAGCTGGGTCTGGAATAATATGAGCAATTTGCTGTTCTCAGAGCTCTTTTACCATGAAGTACATGTTGGCTTCTGCTTTGTGTGTGTCCAACTCAGGACATAGAGTATCTAATTTCCCTTAGCAGTTTCACTACATCCTTCACAACACTCTTAATGGTGTCCATGAGAAACTTAAATGTTCCCTAGCAGTACAAACTGAAAGGAAAAGAGTTTGGGTGTTCTATTTTTTTCTGGTCTGTCTTAGTAAATAAATATACTGGAGGGGAAATGAGTGGTTACTCACTTTTTTTGTGGGTGTTTTTGGAGGGAGGTATCCTATAAGATCATTTAGAATTGTTATAAGGTTGTATTCTGATTTAAGAGGTTTTTATTTTCTTTCAAAGCTATGAAGAAGGGGATTTTGAAAAAGCTGCTGAACTGTACAAAAGAGCGATGGAAATAAAAGAAGCAGAAACATCACTTTTGGGTGGAAAAGCTCCTTCTCGACACTCATCAAGTGGAGATACATTTAGTGTAAAAACAACCCATTCTCCTAATGTTTTCCTTCATCAAGGACAAAGGTAGTAGCAGCAATCACAATTCACTGAAAGTGTGTATTATAAGAAAATAATGAAAAAACATTTGGGACATTAGAATTTAAAACTTACTAAAAATATTTTTAAGAAATTTTATTTTTACTTTTTCTGATTTAAGTTGTATTTGTATTAAATTGTACTGGGCTACATTGAAGTTTGAATCATAATTATGTCCTTTTAGTTAAAAGAGTTAACTTTCCAGTTGTGGGATCCAGGGCTGCAGACGCTAGAACACTAAGATGCCATGCAGAATGAGTTGGTCTCTGTTCAACAACAGCTGGCAGAGCAGTTATGCAGAGTTTAAGAACTGCGTGATTCTTCTCATCTCTCAAAAGCTACTTTACCTCACCATTCCTTATGTTCCTTTCCAGCAGTAGTCTAGCCCAGTTCTCTACCTCAAAAGAAGTTTCAAGGAATAAAGGGATAACGTTTATGAAAAGTATGAATTGTCTTCTATAAAGTGACTAGTAACGGGAATCTCTGCTACTTTTTTTTCTTCAAATTATACCTTTTCCTTGAGCAGATTGGGCCAAGTCCTCTACTTTCTGTGCTCTGTATATTGTATATAATTTGTCTGTGTAGTATATGCATAATCTGAAGTCATTAATGCAGCAACAAATCAAGCTGTTGACATTCTCCTCGATTTTCTTAAATGGCCTAACTCTGTCTCTTCATTTATCTCCAACTCAAATTAGTCTGCCTATTATACTGAAAATTAAGTATTTTTGTAGCTTTTGTAAATACTGCCACATTTTGGATATTATTTTGTACCATCTATGTATTTATATATAATAAAATCTTCAATTTTAATACTTGGTAAAAGACATAATAACCATACTTAACTGTTTTAAAATAAAATGCAATTTTAAGTTCCCCTTTTTCTACTCAATACAAGAGGGTTATATAACTAAAAAAAATACATTACCAAAAGGACTGTAGGTTGTCGCTACTCACTGAGTAGTTACTCATCTTGAGCTTTGGTGACTGTATAGGCTTTGGTGACCTTAAGGCCTGGCTACTCACTGGGTGGTCCATGAACCCAACATTGTCAGCCTACAAATACAATTTAGACATTCCTATCTTCAAAGCAAAAAATAAAAAATAAAAAAATAAAAAATCATCAAAATAGGAGATTGGCAATAACTGCCTACAGATCTTACCTTGGCTTCTGTCTTCCTCATGACAATGGGAACATGAGTGACATGGGCACTCACTCAAATAATGGTTACACATGCATGTTTCTTTATTGGTCTCCAAACCATTAGAATTTTATTTTAATCAAGGTTCTCAAAGCCTTCATTATTTGTATACAACTCTAGGTAAAAACAGTTTTATCAATTTATGATTTAGAAGTCATAATCTTGGAAAATAATACTCTTCCAGTAAATAAATATATCAGTCATTTCAGAAGCACTTTCGGCCTCTTTAATGCCCTATCCAGGACAACCCCTTTCCAATATTTAATTTCCTGGGGAATCAAATTTAAGTGAAATAAAGTATTTATAAGGTAACCCATATCATGAGTACAATCTAGATGAGTTTAGTCTGAATTTATCCATTACTCCTCAATAAAGTAGAGTGATTCCAGGTATATGTCCATAGATGCAATGATTTCCTTGGTCAGCGCAGAAATATAATTTGTACTTCCTCAAAGGATCTGTATCTGTCTACCCATGGAAAAAAACTTCCTTTTAGTTGCCTGATTTTGAATATAGAATCCATAAGTTTACAACTTTTCCATTGACTACATTTTAATTTGTAATCAGGAAACATTTGAAAAACTGTTATTATTTTATAGGTTAACTATTTTAAATTCATTGCTTGCCAAATTAGTAGTAGTGGCAGTTCCCTTGTAGAGAACAATACCAAAACAATGAGTACATGGCCTATTAGGTCAAATCAACAGGTTGTACCTCTTGCCCTTTTCCCTGTATTTCAGGACCACATATTGCTTTATTGCCCACAGCCCAAACCACAAAGGATTACTGGCAAGAAAAGGAATGTGTACAGCATCAAATTGGTCCTTTCTCCCAAAAGGCCAACACATTTCAATGGCTAAGTTTTCAACAAAACTTAAAACTGCCTAAAATAATCCTTTGAAATTTTCTTACTAGAATGAAACATGAGATTTAGGAGAGTTATTTAGTTGTGGGTGAGGTAACAAGAAGCAACAGTAATAGTATTTTCAAAAAGTATAACAATTTAGCAAAGAATACACATCAATTGATGTTCCCTAAGTTTTGTCAGTTTTAAAATGACTTTTTTAATTGCAAAGGAATAGGTTTAAACACAGAAAATATAGTCCAGTCCATTATCTACATATTCTTCATTTTGGCCATGAGATCTTCCAAGCTTTCACCAGAATCTTCCACTGTTACATCAAGAACAGAATCTTCTTGCTATCAACAAGTGAGGGAAACACAGTGAAAAAACCACCACATAAAATTCTTGATGCTTAGAAATATATAATCAGTAAGCTTTAACCATGTTCTACAAGTTTACAAAGTAAACTTTCTTTAGTACATATGCCTTCTAATTTTTAGGAGAGACAAAGTCCTTTACTTTCCTCACTAGTATTTTGATTTACAAGGCAGTAATTTCAATATTCTTACGATATCTACTAAAGTGACACTTTTAAATGGTATCGTGGCTAAAACTACCAATTTAGAAATACGATATTTTCATTTAATCAAAATCTATTTTACCTGATCCATTAATAACTGAACAAAACTATTTTATATTTGTTTTCAAACAGTTAAATTGTGCTGTGCATATGTCCATAATAGAATTGAATACATCTCTTTCAGAAATCTTAATTTTTTCATGTTATTTACTTGTGGTAAATCAGATTTTAGATGTACCTGTTGGGGAACTGTATAGGCCACTGTAATTCCTTCAGGTAAGTCAGGAACTGGACCTGAAGAATTTTTTAGTTCCTCTTCTGAAACCTCAGATACCAACTCAATACCTGTAGAGTTAAATTTGACCTTATTACAGTTTTCGAGAAACTTAAGCAATAACAACTCAAAACTTGTATAACGTTAATTATAATGACATTCCCTCCCATAAAAGATATGGTGTATGCTGCAATTTCCATTTATGAAAAGATTCCTACCCCACTCATTGTCTTCATGTATTATTTCTTCCTCTTCTTGAACAACCTCCTTTTTGGGCAGTGCTGCTACCTTTTTCTGTAGAAATCAAACAGTATCAAAGTATTTTTATTCATTCTCAGTTCTCCCAAGCATCCTATATGATAAAAACCTAATATTCTAAGTGTCTGGTCATCTGTTCAACCAATCAAAGTGTAATATGCTAATGATAAGCTAAAGCAGCTCAACCGCTCACTATGATGTGCACTAACCACCAGGGGATAGTCGATAGGTCGACCAGTCACTATGATATGTACTGACCACCAGGGGGTATGTGCTCCAACTGGTAGATTAGCTTGCTGCTGGGGTCTGGCCAATTGTGACTGAGTGAGCAGGTTGGACATGCCCCGGAGCACTCCTGAGGTATCTCCCGCATTCCTCCCCAGCCCTGATCATGCACCAGTGGGATCCCTTGACCTGGCCTGCATCCTCTCACAATCCGGGACCCTTTGGGGAATGTCAGAGAGCCGGTTTTAGCCCAATCCCGCAGGCCAGGCTGAGGGATGCCACTGGTGCACAAATTTGTGCACTGGGCCACTAGTTAATAATTCAGGTAGGCTTCTTATCCTACCAAAAGCAAAAAAGGACTTTTAACAGAATTTTCATGGTGAATAAATTAAAAGTTTAAGGACCCAGAATCCAATTATCTTAAATTCCAAATCTAAGTATTTTTTCTTTCCTTTTTTAAAGCTATTAACCTATGCAACATGTTCTCTCACACATTCTCACAGACTGGATATACCTTATATTCTTCCTGCTGTTTCCTACAATTTTTGTCATTGCACTGAGGATTTGGCTTCATGGACATAGTAGGAAAGAAATCTTGCATTGCATTGTATCCGAGGTAAAAACTAACAGTACCAAATTTTAACAGAAACCTAGAAAAACAAATCAAAGTAGACTTAAATAAATGAAAGGATAAAAGTATTTTTAAAAACAGATTATAGGGCCTGGCTCTCTTTATTGGATGAAAGCAGGAAAGAAAACTCTATCATCAGCCATAGAACTCTTTTTTGAACCTCTAATAAAGATAAAATGCTGCTGAAACTGGTTTGGCTCAATGGATAGAGCGTCGGCTTGGGGACTGATGATTCTGGTCAAGGGCATGTACCTTGGTTGTGGGCATATCCCCAGTAGGGGGTGTGCAAGAGGCAGCTGATCGATGACTCTCTCTCATCAATGTTTCTAACTATCTCTCTCCCTTCCTCTCTACAAAATCAATGAAATATATTTTAAAAAAAAAAAAGATAAAATGCTGCCAATTAAACTAACATTATGTCAACAACTTTAAAAAGCATGCTGATTTTAGAGAGATTAAAATGTAGAAGAATGATATATTAAAAATTCCTAAGATATGATACTAAATCTAACCAAATTAAAATATTTTTATATAAAACTTACTATAAAGTTTACAATCTTAAATGTATAGTTCAATACAATTTTATAAATGTATTCACCCATGTAATCACTACCAGATCAAAATTACAGAACATTTCCAGTATACCACAAAGCTTTCTGTGCTCCCTGCTGGTCAAATCTGATTCTTTTTAGAAAATCATTTATATAAAGTAAACAACAAAAGAAAAAACATTTGCAAATTTATGTTCTTTTTTTATTGTTTTATAGAAAGAGAAACATCAATCTTTGTTTCACTGGTTGATTCTTGTTTTTTAAATTTTATTTATTGACTGATATTTAGAGAAAGGAAGGGAGGAGGAGAAAAAGAAACATTGATTTGTTGTTCCATATATTTATGCATTCTTTGGTTGTTTCTTATATGTGCCCTGACAGGGGATCAAACCTGCAACCTTCATGCATCAGGATATCACACTAACCAACTGAGCTACTCAGCCAGGGTGTAAATGGATTTTCTTAATATATGTAAAGGAAAAAACAAATTGAGCACAGAATATGAGCAAATAATTCACCCAAAAGTACAAGTGCTCAAATTATCACAAATAACAAAATTGAAAGAGATACCCATTCTTCACCTATTAGATTCACCAAGATTAAATAGTTTTGCAATATCAAATTATATCAAAAGTGTGGATGGATTAGGTACTCCTACACTGTGATGGAATGTACAATCCCTTTGAATGAAAAATTTAGTAATTAGTCAAAAAAAATTTGCATAAGCCCAGAAACTCCACGCCTAAAAATTAAAACTGTACAAAAATCTAGTATACCAAAATATATGAAAAGCTACTGTTTGCAGTATTAATAACTTAAAATCAATAAGTAGCCTAAATGTCCATCAATAGAGGGCTTATACTATAAATATGACATGTAAGAGAGTAATTTATAGCCATGATTTTCCCCCACTTCAGATCATTCTATGAAATGTTTAGGGAGTTTGCACAAGCTATAAAATAGCTCTAGACAGTTGCCTTAAGAGTTCTTATGTATGCTTTTGACAATATCTTTGCTAGTTGTGGACACTTCTGATATCAGAGTGCCTCACTATAGCATGTTGCAGTTTGTTCTTACATTGGAGGCTTAGGAAACATACCTAAGCTTATTCGAGTTGCAACAAAAAATGGCCTGAGAGAGGGAACACCTAAAGGACTGTACTTTTAATTAAGAGTGAATTGATTCAAAATCTCTTTGACATTAATTTTAGCTGTAAAGAAACCTTTGTCCTTTTTAGTTATATTCTAAGTCAATGATTTTCAACTGGTGTGTTGTAATAATTTTTTTAAAATTTGTTTTTATGACTTTAGAGAGAAAGAGGAAGGAAGGGGGGGGGGGGGAACATTGATGAGAGAGAAGCATTGATTGGCCACCTCCTGCATGCCATCAAGCCTGTAACAGAGTATGTGCCCTGATCAGGAATGGAATCGGTGATCTCTTGGTGCACAGGACAACACCCAACCAAGACACACTGACCAGGGATGCAAGAATTTTTAAAACATGCAATACCTGTTCATTTAAATTATGTCTAGTAAGGTATATTACATACAAATAAAAAGTATATGATATTATACATAGTATATAAAATAAAAATATATGTATATTTAAAACTCAATTTAAAAAACTAAGTTAAATACTTTGCTGGTAGTTCCTATATTTAAAACACTTCATTAAGTAACTTTTTAAAAAAAAAATCAAACAAGACTATTCAGAAAAATTAACCTTCACTCACTTTAACACATTTTGTACCAAGATCCCAGCAACCACGCCCATAGTGGTAGGAAGACTGGCTGCACAAACACCCTCTCGTTTCAGAGTCTTTTCATCAATATTTGCAGCAACTACAAGTGGCGGGGCACACTACATGAAAAAGAATGAGAGAAAATATATTTCAAAGAAAGGGAAAAAGTATGTGTTCCAAGTAGCAGTTAATCATATTCAAAGTCTGTTTTTCTTTGAACTGTAATAAATATTCAATGCCCCTAGGAACTCTTGTATTTAGTGAAAAATAATTCAAAATTTATTATACATACCGCAAAACAAGCAGATTCTCCAGGAATCATAAGCTGTATGTGCCCCGAAACGGCATTTTCACTGACCCCAGACTCCATCCATGTTTGTCCAAGTTCATTGCAAGCCTTGGTAGAAGTAGACAAAAATAAAAGAACATAAAAGAACAAGATATAATTTACCATGATGTCTTTTCATAAAAAAGCAGCATTAACTAAACGGATTACCATGAATTTTTTAAAATTAATTTTCAAAATAAAAAAATTAAAGTTGTAAAAAATGGAATTCCTTGGCAATTGTCACACTCTGTTTAAAATAAACTGACAGGTCTGGGAAGAGGTCAATGGGGCGGGGGTGGGAGGAAATATACTTTCAACAATAAAGAATTAAAAATTTAAAAAATAATAAATAAAAATAAACTGACAGGTAAGTAGTCAATAAATATCTAATTAAATTAATTCTATTGGATTTCTTCTCACATTAATGTAAAACTTCATTTTTCTAAAATTATTTTGGCAACAAAAATGCAAAACTTCATTTGAAAAGCTGAAAGCACAACAATTTAAAGAATTGTTTTATTTTTCAGAAACCATGTTTAAAGGCAATTTATATGTATTTATATCTTTATTGAAAAGTAAAGTAACAAAAGTTAAAACCAAAGCTGACCAAGAGTATTATAAGATATTCATTTATTTTAAAAATTGTACACCACAACTATCTGCTATTTTATAGTTTCCTCTTTTGACATCATTGAGTGGGATATTGAAACCTATGAGATAATAGCAAGGCTAAGCAGGTCCCACAGTCATTAGAAAACATTTCAAAAGTAAACTAAGGGAACATTAAAAATAAATATAACACATTATAAAAGCGCTTAGATGCAGAACAATTTTTAGGATGGGAAATATATACTAATAGGAGATATAGAATAGATAAGTCCATGAGAGTAAAATTTTACACAGTAAGAATACTCACTGTATTTATTGTCATTCGAGCTTCAAAATTATCTACACAGCTAAGAACTAGGTCAACAGGTTTTCCTTCTTCTAATCCACCATTACTAGGCAAAGGAAATAAATATTATTTGAAAAAATCAGGACACAAATACATTCTAATTAGATTTTATTTGTTCAGTCACACAATTACTATTTCAGTAAATGTTTAAGTATAATTATAATATACTAAGTATTAAATATTAAAGATCCAGTATATATAAAGTATTGAGTAATATTATGAGTAATATTGAGTAATATTATGAATATAACATCAATGATACTATGGTATTTTTTACACAAGACCTACACGGATGCAAGTATAAATTCTGTTTACAAAAGTTACCATTTACATATTAGCTTTCAGACTTTTATTCAAATGTATGAGTTAATTGAATACAATTCATTATTTTAGTGGTGTCACAAGAGTCTCTGCAGAAAACCACTTTCAGATAGAAATATATTCTAGAACACAAAAATGTATAATTAAGGATTCCTTATTATACTATTATAATAATAGGGTTTTTTTTATTGGTTTTTCTTTTGTTATTATCATTGTATTTTGGACAATACATACTTTTTACTGAGCTCCCAGTATGTAAAAATTACGCAAAAATTAATTATTCTAAAAACAAAACTATGTTTCATTCTATCAATGCATTGCATTAATCATCAGCACATTTTCTATAATACTTATTTAACTGAGCTGGACACGTGCAACATATTCATAAATGAAATTTTACCTTATTCTATCCATGAAATGTTGAAAGTTTTCTACTGTGGTTATATTATAGTTGTGTACTTCAAAAAGAACATCAGGATTAATGTTCCTAAGAGGGGAAAAAGGAATGATTATAGTAGGAATAGTAAGAGAAAGCAAGAAAAAGTACTAAAGATCATTTAACAGAGATCAGAGAAATGGAATTTAAGCTATTCAAAGAAAATCCTGTCCTCTTCTACTTCTTTTGTCCCACATCAAGGATACATTCAAGGACTAGGTTTATAATGTGTGATTATCAGAAGGCTTACAAAAATGTTCCCACAGCCTGTGAACTGGAAATTAAGTCTTATCCTCTCTGTTAGCTACATTTCAGCCTGACAAAAGAGCTCCTTAATTCCTTATTCAATTCAGTGCAGCATGTCTGGGCTCACAAAGAAAATTCCTAGAGCAAGGGTTGGCCACTTATGGCCTTTCCAAAATTGACCTGCCACCTATTTTTGTAAGGTCTGCAAGCTAATAATGGCTTTTAAATTTTTAAGTGGGTGCAAAAAAGAAAGTCAAAAGAACAACAATCATTTCATGACATATAAAAAATATAAAATTTTAATTTCAGAGCCATAAAGTTTTATTGGAGCAGAGCCTTCCTCATTCATTTTTATATTGCCTATAGATGCTATCACACTATAAGTGCACAGTTGAACAGTTTTGACAGAAACCATACGGCCCTCAAAGCCTAAAGTATTTACTATCTAGTCCTATAAGGGAAAAGGTTGCCAAATCAGATCCAAGAGGTAAGAGAATTCTTTGCAGAAGTGAAACCTGCTTTCCTGTAGAGAAAAATGCAGGTCCATTTATGCATTAGATTAACTCATACCAAATACACAAAGATTTCACTAAATAGTCTTTAATTGCTATTCCACTTACCTCAAAGTATGTTCTGCTGCTTGAACTTTACTTAATCCTGCTTGATGAGGTTGGAAGAAAAGTCTATTCATATTGGCCAGTTCCACTTTGTCATAATCAAAGAGTAGTAACTAAAATGAAAATAGTGATATTCTGATGAAAAACCTAAGAATGAATGGACTGGTGGGCTTTACAGTTGATGGGTTTAACAGTTTGGCAGTAATAATAAACTCTGAAACTCTAGGTGTCAATATTAACTCATTCAATGCCCATATGAGGTAAGTATGTAGATACTATTATCCTCATTTTAGAAAGAACTAGGACACTTGCTCAAAAGCCACTGAGTTAATTTACAACAGAAAAGGGATTTGAATTCAAACATTCTTAAGGCAGCATCTCCAAAATATGATTTATTTAAGCTCAACAATATTTACTAGATCAGGCCACAATGCTGTACTGACTCTAAATTATTTGCTAAGAAATTAATGTTCATTTTATTTCATTCCTATTTTTCCAAAAGCCAAGAACCCATTCGATAAATAAAATTTTTCAATAAGAAAAATACGAATGCCATAACTTAAAACTATAATAAAGCATGACTCCTTTTGTGAATCTGACACTACATCTACAACCATGCCATGGCTTAAGCATTATTCCAAATAGAATTACTAACCAACCACTTAATTATTGTTTCCTGCTATATATTTAGAAATGACACCGTTATACACACACACACACACACACACACACACACACACACACACACACACTTTAAAACAACCAAAAGATCCCAATTCTTATGAGACCAGGTTGGACCCAAGGATTGCCAAGTTCCCTTCGTTGGTCTAAAATTCTGTGACTTTGTGATACAATTCTCAGCATCCTAAACTTAACAGTAAAAACAAAAATGGTATTTTCTTCTCAATACAGAAACACTAAGCTGGCTCATAAAAATGGCATATAAGTAACCCTTAAAATCTTGGTAGAAAATATAATACTTATGACTCCTATAATAATTTCCTAACGCTGCAGTCTCCAAAATATGATTTATTTAAGCTCAACAATATTTACTAGATCAGGCCAACCATTAAGTCTGATTTTTGGCCTCAAAGCTGATTTATGAATAAGTTGCAGGAAATCCTAAATTTGGGGACAAGAGGTGAGACTCTGTCACTAATTAGCTCCAATCATGAATAAGACACTTTCACTTTTTTAGGGCTTTTCCTCATCTAAAAATAAAGCAGCTGATATGGATCTGGTAATCCAGGCTATGCTGAGGATTCTGGAAACTTTTAGGAATAAGTCATGGTCTCTGAGTCTCCAATCTTTCACTTCCCTACTTCAAGAATTACCTTTTTTTTTTTTTTTTTTTTTTTATCTGTTTTACACATTGGAGAAAGAGTTTTGAAATTTACCTATGTGTAGATCCTTAGCATATAACCTTGAGTGCACACTGGAATCACTTAGGAAGTTTTTTAAAAATACAGATGTCTGGGTCCCATTCCCAGAGATACTGATTAACTTTTTATGGGGTGCAGTGTGAACATCAGAATTTTTTTAAACTTTTCAGGTAATTCTAATAACAGTGATAATCACTGTTCTAGATCCTTGCTACTCATAATGTGGCCTGGGCTAGCAATATCAGCATTACTTAAAACTAGTCAGAAATACCGAAGCACTTCCCCAACTTAAGTATGCATATGAATCATCGGCAATCTTGTCAAATACAGATTCTAATTCATGTCTGGGGTGGGCCTGGGAGTCTTCATTTCTAACAAGCTCCCAGATGATGTTGATGCTACTACTTCAGGGACCCACCTTTGAGTAGCAAAGATCCAGAGATTCTTAAAGTGCCATTCCTGGAATAACATCAGAATCACGTGGGAACTTGTTAAAAATTAAAATTCTTAGATCCATCTGAAGCCTACAGGATCAAAACCACCAAGGCAGGATCTGGCAAACCGTGGTTTAATAAGCCTTCCAAGGGCTTCTGATCTATACTATCCTTGGTCAGTCAACTATAAGCAACTGTTGACTGGGTTTTGTAAGTCTCTTTATAGACTTTGAAATGTTAAATATTTTTAGTATTTTGATGTTGTCTTTTCTATATTGATAAATGAGTGCCAACTTTGAAACCACTTTCCTTTAAAAATTTGGTGCATGCTAAGCCGGTTTGGCTCAGTGGTAGAGCGTCGGTCTGTGGACTGAAGGGTCCCGGGTTCGATTCCGGTCAAGGGCATGTACATTGGTTGCGGGCACATCCCCGGGAGGGGGGGGGGGGTGTGTGCAGGAAGTAGCTGGTCGATGTTTCTCTCTCATCGATGTTTCTAGCTCTCTATCTCTCTCCCTTCCGCTCTGTAAAAAATCAATAAAATATATTTTTTTAAAAATTGGTGCATGGAGTAAACCAACATATTAAAAAAGTATTGATAAACTTTATGGGAAAGTGCATGCATTTGTGGAAAGCTCATGTATTCAGCCATATATATTTAACATCATGGAATCAAGCTTTATAAGCCTAAGATTGATAGACTGATACCTAGTATAATGTCATTTCTCTTTCTTATCCACAATCTAAACTAATTTTAGAAAAAAAATAAACATATTATACACACACACACACACACACACACACACACATACATGGTATATGAAATTAAAAAACATCTGGAGCATTCTCCAGTTCAATTTCAAACTCTTAAATCCAAATTATTTATATATTACTCCAAACAAAAATGTTCCTAAACATAATTACGTAGTCCTTGTTTTAAATCAGCAATAATATCAGCTTCCAATTTGGTGGAGTTATGTCTTAACCCCCTCGGGTAGAAAGAAAAATCTGAATAAATACACCACAAGTCAATAAACCATTAGTAATGGGGGGGGGGGGCAGATTATAATTTGTACCTGATTTACTCCAGAAGTGAGTAGTTCTCTACATGATAGGCAAAGAGAAATGTTTTTACCTTACCAATGCCACATCTTGTCAGCATTTCAGCAGTCACACTACCAACTCCACCAACACCTACTATTGCTACAGCAAAGGTACGGATTTTCTATAAAATGAAAATTTATATATGTCTTGGTTAATAAGTCTTTCTCAAAAATTATTTTAATTTACTGAAATCATCTTCAAAAACTTGGAAAAGTTTATCATACCTCATAGTCGCTTACAATTCCCATTCGTTTCAATGCCATCAGGCGGCTTAAAACAAAGAAAAAAAAAATGTTTTAAAGGTTACACAATCTTAGTGACATAGGTAAACATACATCACAGAAAACAAACGCCAAAATTCAATCGTTACTGATCTTTTAAAAGAGGAGAAATCTTTTCATCAGTTCCATTTTACCAGATGAAACTAAATCAATGGGGCAGCTTTAAGAACACTAAAGCCTGAATACACTTCCAGCCCATGGAACAAGATTTTTTATATTGGAAATAATTTTCTCCCTATGTTTCTAAGATATGACTGCATTCTAGCTTCTGGAATTTTATGATGTGCCTATTGTGAATCTATTTTCATCCATTATGCTGAGTACTTAGTGGACACTATCTAATTGTTTTTCAGTTCTGGGAAATTTCCTTAAATTTGATGATTTCTTATTTGTTTGGTTTGTTTTTCCTGGATTATCTTTCTGGAATTCCTATTATTTGCAAGTTGAGGACCACTCGAACTGGCCCTCTATTCTTTTTTCTTTTTATATATATATATTTTTTTTTATTGATTTTTTTTTTTTTTTTTTTTTTTTTTTTTTTTTTACAGAGAGGAAGGGAGAGGGATAGAGAGTTAGAAACATCAATGAGAGAGAAACATGGATCAGCTGCCTCCTGCACACTCCCAACTGGGTATGTGCCCACAACCAAGGTACATGCCCTTGTCTGGAATCAAATCTGGGACCCTTCAGTCCACAGACTGGCGCTCTATCCACTTAGCCAAACCGGTTAGGGCACAACTGCCATTTCTTACACAGCAGTGTTAATAAAGACAAAAGGTGCAAATAAGAAAATACTAAATGTTTAGATTTGAGTTCTAAAAGTTTGAGATCATTACAATGTCAACGGGTCATCTCATGTTAAAATAATGCCTGAAAGATTCATCTAAATATATCCTCTACATCTCTTTGCTTCTCAGTCTTGGATGGAAAATTTCAAAATTTCCATTTGTAAAATTAGAAAATGTTTAAGGATGCCAAATGGAGTAGTTTCCACTCGTTCTGGTTAGAGACGTCAGCTCACACTCAAACTCTTAAAAATGTTGATCATAAACTCTTCTTGTTTGGCAACACAGTTACAATACATGCACCCTCCTTAAAGAAAAAGAGCAACAGTAACACCTTTCCTGTTTCACCTACTTTCAAAACTATCCAATTGTTTTAGCCACACTACTTAGTGGCTCATTTCTTTTTAATGGGGAGACAGTTTCATGTGACCCTTCAGCAGGCCAGGCCTTTTTATGTACCACCGGTCCCATGACCCGAGGCAAGTCCCAGCAGCATTCCAAGCCTCAATGATCTCACCTAGAAAAAGGAGCTAAAATAACAGTAGACAGCTCCTAGGGTTGTGGTGGGGAGGAAAATGCATGAGTGACAACGCATGCAAAGTGCTCAGCAGGTTAGTGAAAGCTCAGGTAATGTCAGCCTGGGTACTGACAATCAAGTCTTGTACAAAGCTTCACATGCATGTATAAGCTAGTCTAAGAATTGTACATACACCGAGGTTTCCCATACACAGCACTCACACAGATAACACCATTCTCCCCAAGCCCAAAGTTAAGCAGCTACTAAGAGTGGGGATGGGAATCCAATGAGGCTGACGCTCCAGTCCTTCCCCTAACCCAGTGGTGGGCAAACGCATCAATCAGTCAACAGAGCCCAATGTCAACAACAGTATGACAATTGAAATTTCTTTGGAGAGCCACATTTTTTAAACTTAAACTTCTTCTAACGCCACTTCTTCAAAATAGACTCGGCCAGGTCGTGGTATTTTGTGGAAGAGCCACACTCAAGGGGCCAAAGAGCCGCCGTTTGCCGACCATGGCGCCTAACCACTGCGCGGTATTCAGCCTGCGGAATTAACAAACCTTCTTAGGACACGAGAAAGAAAGAGGGGGCAGATCTCGAAAAACCCAATGGCTTCAGAGCTAAACAAGCTCTGCCCACCACGCCCCCGATTGAGAAGCCTTTACGATAAGGTGACCAGATTTTAACATTGGTAAAGCGGGACACCATTGACGGGAGGGTGAAAGGGGGGAGTTCTTGATTAAAAATGTGGTCTATATGGAGCAACAAAAATTTTCATAGAACGCAAAACTAGCATTGTAATATTTTTAAAACGCAGCGGGACACGGGACAAATTGCTGGAAATCGGGACTGTCAGGCCAAAAGCGGGACGTCTGGTCACCTTCTTTTATGAGACTCGAAGTTTACGTTTAGCGGATTTTATATTTGATGCTGTCGCTTTCTGCAAGTTGTTCCTGTGGGTTTTATGGGGCCGACACACAGAGCCAGGCGCATCAGGAAACTGGACACGTGTCCGGGGCAGGCACGGGAGCAGTACCATATGGCTGATTCACTTGTGGTTTTTGTTAGTTTAAGAGAAAGAACATCTTCGATCTGTACTAAGGTCGTGCCTCCTCTGTTTGGAAACAGGACCCCAACCCAAGGGAAGGGAGGTGGGAGGCCGCGCGAGCAGGACCGGGGTGTGGGGAGCGCCCCAGTCCCGGCCGCTCGGGGAAGGCGGCTTCGCCCCCACGCCCGGCCCCGGCCCGCGGTCACCTGTAGGGGTTGGAGTCCACCACCTCCGGGCTCATCTTCGCGATGCGGGCGCGGCCGCCCCCTCCGTCGCCGCCCCCCAGCGCCCGCCGGCTTCGTTCCTGGGCCAGCTCCCGCTCCAGCTCCTCCACCCGCTGCCGCAGCCGCTCCTCCGCCGGCGCGGCCATGGCTGCGGGGACTCCGGCCGCCAACGCTCCCTGCCCCGGCCGCCGCCGCCGCCGCCGCCCCACAGTGACAGGGTCGCTGGCCCGAACGGAGAATCTAAGGGGGCACCGATCGGGCCCCCAAGCCCAGAACCCTGCGGAAGAGCTCCCAGCGCCTCACAGAAAGACACGTCTCCGCCGCTCCCGCAGCACCACTTCCGGTTGCAGTCACCGCTCCCTCTCCGAACACACACACACACACACACACACACACACACACACACATACACACACACTTGTTTTCTAACTTGTCTCCTTTGCCGGGTCCTAAGAGACCAGGCCTCGGCAGGGCCGAGGTCCTAAGCGTCCAGAGCGGGCGGCCGGCGATATTGCCATTTCGAGAGGGCGGCTCAGGGAAACACCGGGAACTTTTCTTCTTGGGCTCGGAGTCCACACGGACCCTTTTCTGAAGAGGACCCTCTAGGTCTTCCGCCACAGGCTTAGAAGGGGCAGAGGCTCCTGCGTTCTTAGTTGCCGGCAGCGACGGACGCGGCTTTGCTGGCGTTAAAATGGAGGTCTCCGATTGTGAGGCTGACCGCTCATTTAAAATCCAAACACGAGAGGGGTTCTCCGGACATTTCCTAAGCAGAGCGGAAACCACCAGGGTTCTGCGGGCCAGTGTTGCTCAGCAACGGTGCCTAACTCGTGTGTGATTGGCTGGAGCCGGGCTGGGCGCAGGCGGGCCTTGGCCCAGGCCACGCCCCCTAGCTATAAAGGAACCCCTCCCGGCACCGAAAGTGTGTGGGTTCCACAGCGGCCGACATGGAGAACCGAGTCTCCTGCGAGCCAGATGCCGCCGAAGTGCTGCCTCAGCACAAGTTCGACTGCGGGCCCTTGGAGGCCTACCTCAGCCAGCACTTGCCCGGCTTTGGGGCCCAGCCCGAGGCCAAGCTGACCATTGTCCAGTACAGGTATCGCCACTAGCCTCCTCCTCCTCCTCCTCCTCCAGTGGAAACAAATCTGTGCTTGGTGCTTTTCTCCCTTGGGCCCTGGGTGGGTTCCCAATGCCCCGCCACCCCAGTTTCTTCTGTAAGGACACACTCTGCAGGCGGGGGCTGGCATTGCACTCGGGGGAATTTCCAATTCGCGGCCAATAATGGAAGAGATCCTAGTGACGATTCCAACTAGGAGAAAGGAACCTGTGTTCAAGGATCCAATTATGTGCCTCCGGGATTCACTGAGGCTTGGAAGCTCTGTGGGGTACACAGAGGCCTTCGCTCAACTTTCTTTCCATAACCATTAACTTCTTCCCCCACACACCGAGAAACAAGTGTCATTCCTCTTCCCCCACACCAAGAAACAAGTGTCAGTCCTTCATAATTGGCCATATTCTCGAAGGCTTAATGGCCCCAGCTGGGGGATTCGAATTCTAATGGCAGATTTTCCACTTGGCAAATCTCACCACCACTTTGGGCTTTCGTTGTTTTTTGTTGTTGTTTTTTTGAAGTGAGGGATTGGAACTGAAAGACAATCCTGACAGTACTGTTTTCCACCTTGAGTCTAGCCCTAGCCTGATGTTTTATAATAGAAATTGTTTTTAAGAAATACTTTATTCTAAAAATAGTATTTTGATAAACAGAGAGGTAGAAAAACAGTCCCGGCTTCCAGAAAATTAGATCTGCCAGATACTGGGAATTTAAATACCTATAATAACAAAAGTATAATGTGCTAATTAGACTGGATGTTCTTCCAGGTGCTCTAGTGTTACATAAACTCTCTGAGGGCTAGTTTTCTAATCTGTAATAAATACCCAACTGTTCTGAGTAATCCTGATAAGTGAAAGGACTTAAACATTGCAACCGAACTATATACCAGTGGTATTTATCACTACCATCTATATTCCTGATTAGAGTGGGGGGAAAAAATAGTGGCAAATGTCATGGATAAAAGAGGGTTTTGAGGTATAATTCAGGTATAAGGCACCTGGTCCCAATAGTCAACGGAGGATGAAGGAGAAGATGGAATAAAAAAAAAATAGCTGAGGTTTCTAGATTAGACATTTTGTGTGTTGAAACAAAATAAAACCAAAGTTCAAATTTCAACTAAGCCACTTGCTGTGGAAATCTGGACGACGATTTAACCTTTTGAGCATTGATTCCTCCTTTGGCAAAATGGAGACAGTCATATGTATCTCCTAGAATTGTTGGAGAATTATTTAATTGAAAAAGACCTAATTTTGAATCAGATTGGATGCTAAATTAACCAGGATTGTGCTTAATAAATATAATAAAATGTGGCATAAATAGTACAGGCATACCTTATTCTATTGCACTTAGCCTTATTTCACTTCACAGGTGTTGTGTTTTTTACAAATTGAAGGCAAAAACCTTCTACCAGCAAAAAGACTAAAACTCACTTATTGCATTAGTCTGGAACCAAATCTGCAGTATCTCTGAGGTATGCCTACATAGAATATGGGTAGAACGATCCCACAGAAATACAGATTTCCTTCCAGGATACATGAAAAAGCTTATGAAAACTGAAGACATGTTGGGCCACAAAGAAAGTTTCAAAAATTCTGAAGTGTCAATCTTTAAAAAAAAAAAATTGGAATATAAATGCTAGGAGTTTATAAAACAACTGAAGAAAGAAGCTATCATATACATGTTTAGAAATGAATTGATTCATGGATTTAAAAAGCCAATAATCTACAGATAATAGAGAGTTTATCAAAGTTCAGAATGGAAAAAATCAACAAACAAGCCAATAAAATGTAATCTTAAAAAAGGTATAATTAATAAGAGCATCAAAAGTATAAATTGCCTAGATATTAATCTAATTTGTGCAAGACCTTTTAAAAAGAATTAAATAAACTGAGAGATGACAATGTTTATGAAAAAAAAATTCAATAGTAAATTTTTCCCAACTTATGTATATAGATTCAGTACAATGGCAATAAAAAAAATCTTAATTTTTTCTCTAATTTGAGAAATTACTCCTAAATTTTATGTGCAAGAGCAAAGGGCTAAGAATAGCAAAAACACTCCTGAAGATGAAAAATAGGAAATTTGAATTAAGAAGGCATGATATTAGCAAAGAAATAGACCAATAAAATCAGAGAGTCCACCAAAACAACCCACATATTTATAGAATTTTGATATATGGCAATGCTGGCATTAAGAAATGTGTGTAAAGTGCAATACTATGCTTCTATAAAAAAGAAACAACTTGTAACATTTGCAACAGGATGGATGGACTTAGAGAGCATTATACTAAGCAAAATAAGCCAGTCGGAGAAAGAGAAACATCATATGATCTCACTGATTTGTGGAATATTAATATAATGAACAACATAAACTGATGAACAAAAATAGATCCAGAGACTTAGACACATCAAACAGATCTTCAAACCTCAGAGGGAAGGCAGGGGAGGGTAAGGAAGAGGGATAAGAGATCAAGCAATGTCTTGTATGCATGCATATAAGCATAACCAATGGACACAGACAGTAGGGGATGGGGTGAGAGCAAGTGCTGGGGGTGGGTGCAGCTGGGGAGAAGTCAATAAAGGAAAAAGGAGACATATATAAAACTTCAAACAATAAAGAATTTAAATTTAAAAAAGCATCAGTGTGTGTAGAGAGGACTTTTCAATAAATTACATAGGTATAGTTATAATTGTTATATGTATGAAAATATTGAAATTAGACCTTTTTATTATCTCACAAAGTTCAAGGTGAATTCATGTTAAAGGTAAAACTAAAACCATTTGGAAGACATAATAGGATTTGATTGTTGACTTTGGAGTAAAGAAATTTTTTAAAAAGATAAAAGCACAACCATAAAGAAAACAGCTGATAAGTTTTTAGCAAAAGACTCCTTTAAAAAAGTTAAAATAAAAAGAAATGTTTGTAATATATATATACATACACACACACACACACACACACGCACACATATATATATGTGTATATATATATATATATATGGAGGTAATATGCAAATTTTTCCAGGATGCCTTTACAGTCATGACAGGCTCCATGACTGGCATGGCTCGGAGCATGCCCCCACCCCAGCAGACACACATGGGAGGGGGCCTGCTTCCAGCGACCGTGGTGTGGCTGGGAGCACACCCTCACCTCAGCGGACACACATGGGGGGCCTCTGCGCATGAGCTGCAGAAGAAACACCTTTTCTGACTTCTCATTGGCTAAACTTCCTGTATGCTGCCACTCACAGTGTTCTTGGTAACTTGGGTAATAAGAATTCAAGAAAGTGAGCTAGGGTTTTTCCACCTCACTCCTGGAGGAAAAAACGAAGGTCTGCTGATAGAGGGGCTAAGAAATGTCATATCCTGCCCTAGCCAGTTTTGCTCAGTGGATAGAGCCTCAGCCTGCCAACCGCAGGGTCTGGGTTCAATTCTGATCAAGAGCATGTACCTAGTTGCAAGATTCCTCCCTGGCTAGGACCCAGGTCAGGGCTCATGCAGAAGGCAACCAATCGAAGTGTTCCTCTCAAACTGATGTTTCTCTCTCTCTTCCATGCTTTCTAAAAAACAATGGGAAAAAAAGAAAAGAAATGTCATATCCTATGAAAGACACATCTTGAAAATGCCAAAAGAAAGTTTTTTGTTTTTTTGTTTTTTCGTGGTGAAGGGCCTGGAGTTTGTGTTGATGAAAACATCTTAGCTGCCGGCAGCAGCAGCAAGGTGATGGGGGTGGTGCCTTCACCCCCTCCGTGGGAAGTGGACCTAAGCCATCAGTAGGACATCCCCTGAGGGCTCCTGAACTATGAGAGGGAGCAGGCTGGGATGAGGGACCCCCTCCTCCCCAGTGCACAAATTGTGTGCACCAGGCCTCTTGTATACATATATTGGTTAAAAGGTTACTAAATAGAATGTATAAAGAATTCTAATAGCCCAACAGAAAAATGGTTAACAGACTGGAAGATGCCCAAGGTCATTGCACTGTAGTATTCAGTGAAAGGCAAATTGAAACGATGAGATACCATTCCACACCTCCATATTG